TAACCATGAGTTTTAGATAACTTTGAACTACAATGAGTACAATGGGACATTATCAATACAAATACCCAGCGACCGACCGAAAAATATGAAATATCGGGTTGCTGCCCATATATTAAAAACTCACCATTTTAAGCAGTAAAAAAGTGTTTCCTCTAAAAATTTACGATCCCGGACCATTGTTTGATCCCTAGGGTCCCTGGGGGGATAAGTGGCGACCTTGAACCTCGGGTTGGTCTGTATTTAAATACATGTTTAATATCTAGCATACATTTGATTGATTCCCATATACCTCGGCTATTTACGATACCTTTAGTTTTCACAAGTTTAAAAAAAAAAAAAAATCAAACCGACCGACCAAATTTTCCGACTTTTTTTTTTGGCTTTATGATAAGAAGAAAATTTCATGTCACCAAATGCACTGTACTCTGCATGTATATACAGATGATTGTAGTTGTCAGACATAGAGAAGATGACCTCACAAAAAATGTGCTTTTGTTTTCATATTTCATATATTTCTTGGCATACCATCCCTTAAGTAAAAACAAAAGATTTCAAATAACTGATCATGTGATGGCGCTAGATAAATTGTCTTTTACAACTATTGCCATTACAATATTTATATTGTTTATATTTATATATATAGTGGCATCTCACTCATAATGGGTCGTACACCTATTCAGCTTTTATTGAGGTGTTTTATACACTGTTATCTACAGTGAGGCAACACACATATATATGATCTTTGTAAATTACAAACAGGAATGTTAATTTTTTATTTGAAAAATAAAAATCATGCGAGATGTGTGCTAGATTATTTTGAACCAATTCAGCACTCGCACATTACAAGATCTGTAGAAAACGCAAACTTTTTTGTAGAAAGGAAACGTTTAACTCAAAGTCAACACAGTGTAATTTATAGTAGTACCTTATTCTGGAACTCATTGCCAGTGTCATTAAAAAATATCACCTCTCGATACACATTTAAACAAGGTCTTAAACAGTATCTCTGTAATAAATAACCCAGTATTGACTTATGTAACAATTGTCACTCTCTTGACTTTTATGACATATTTTTGATCAGTTTTAAGTATTCTTATATACATTACCTTTGAATATTTGTAAGAATATTTCTGATAATTTGACTAGTTTATAATTAGGGTAGGAACAAGATGTTTTACTAGCTCTTTTTGAGCTATTTATCATGTTCCACACCATAATGACAAAGCATTATGTATTTAGCAAGTACCCAATTGTATTTACTTGATGGTGAAATAAAATATACAATACAATACAATACAATACAATACATCAGAATTAAATATCTTTTTACCTAGCATGTTATTTTAGCTAATTTAGCTATTCTGTGATGTCACTATTAATTCAAGAAGTCACTAATTTAAAATATGCGATTTATTAGCTAAATTAAGATTCTGTTATGTATTGAGTTAAATTCGCTAAAATGGCATGTAGTTATTTCACTGTGTTTTACATTACATGTGTGTATACATGCCCACACTGTTATGTTTTGTTGTTATCATTACTGTCATTGTTCTTGAATGATTTCCATGCTAACAGCACAAACATTGTAATGTGTGTCGTTGTAACTGTGATAAATACAGGTTGTGTTATTAGTATTTTTTTTTTTTCAGATTTCACCATTGTATCAACTACCAGTAGTACGTCAGTTGTGTCACCAACAGACGTGACATTTTTCATACAAAAGTACCTGCCATCAGCAAGATACCATTCTGAAAGTAAAAACGAATTGTTGTACACTATACCAAAGTTAGGCACTGAGAAAGCAGCTTTTATACGTCTGTTTGAGGCACTGACCAATCACAAGCATGTGTTAGGAATCGTCTCGTATGGCGTGTCTGAAACTACAATGGAGGAAGTCTTTCTAAAAGTTAACAATGATGAAATAGATGGTAAGCTAAATGATGTGGTCTTCAGTGTTCAGTTTGATTGGTTGTACAGCACATTTGTAGTCATGGCAACTGCATCAGATAAATAGTAATTGGAATCTATACTGGTTTGAGTCGATTACTAAACCAGATTGTTGACTGCCAATCTTACTAAATTTATAAAACAGTAAATTCCATTCACTTGTAGACAATGATGATGACCTTGTGATTGAGGATACACCATTACATAGAGAAAATATCGAAGATCAAAGAATTGATGGTAAGTTGCATATTCTATAATTTTGTGAATTTGTGATGAACTGGTGGTGAAAAGGTTATCACATTTGGACCGTAGCTTTTCTCACTTCATTATCTGTTTACAGAGTGACTTAATTTGAAATAACCCATTTATTGTTATTCAACAGAAATATTTACTGGTATAGAGAACATTGAAAAAATAAATGGCTTATCATTGGTGGCCAGTCACGTTATTGCTGTAATATGCAAGCGCTTTCATCACAGTAGAAGAGATACCAAAACGTTTGTATCACAGATATTCATGCCATGTTTTTTCCTCGTTATGGCAATGACAGTCACAATGAACTCACCGTTATATCACGAATTCCCTCCATTGGTTTTATCATCAGCCATGTTCAAACCGGATGAGTTATACATTCCCGTCACCAATGAGCTACAATATAACTCATCCGATACTCCGGATGCTGATCCAGGTGCACTCTTGGATACAATGTTTTATCCAGCCGGGCTTGGAGGAACGTGTTTACTGTTGTCACCGCTTAATGACACTGTAGATGATCTATTGACGCAAAACACCAGTTTGGATTTATCCAGTGAATATTTTAATGATGTATGTCGTCAGACATTACCATTATCATTTACCGTACCATACCCGTATTGGAAACAAAAGACATTCTTACAAGCGAACACTGGTAGGTTTCTTCGTCCATAACTGTTGCTATTTTTTTTATTTATTTCACACATATCTTTAAAATAGAATAAAAATAAGTCAATAACATTATATATACTTTGAGACAATTATTATTTACTTTTAATAATTTAATTTTTATATAAACTACTAAAATTATGCACTGTATAAATAGTTATTTCCACAAATTAAATTAAATTAATTTGCATATAATTGATATACAACATGTATCTAACTTGCATGTCAGATATTTCAAAGCAAAAATCTAACATCTTTTATTTCAGTATCAACATCAAATACATTGTACAATGTGCCTAAATTATTTATATGAACAAATTATTAAAATCACTTGTTATAAAAACATACATTTGAATCGTTTAGCACACTCCCAGACTATCATGTCTCATAACTATTCCTGTTAAGTACCTCATGTATATATATTGTAATAGATTAAGAACTAAAAAAAATATTTTTCATAATATAAAATTACTATTTTGAAAAAAAAAAAAAAAATAGAGATGCTTCAGTGAAAATTAAATCCAGTGAATATATCTTTTTTTCTATATTTTCAAATTAAACTCATCAAAAATCAATTCAAATAAACTCCATACAAAAGCACAGACAATTAATTCTAGCTAAAATTTGTGTTACAGTGGTATGCTGTTTCATTGCACACACTGTTTTGAATGTTAATTCAGATACTGTAGAATTCTTTATTTTCGCTTGGAATTTATTTTCGCTATTTTTGCTGAAGGGATGATTCCATGAAAATAAAATCCAGCGAATATACTTTTTTTCCTATATTTTACATTAAACTCATCAAAAATCAGTGAAAATAAATTCCATACAAAATGCCCAAAAAGCCTTTTCAGCGAAAATTAATTCCAGCGAAAATAAAGTATTCCACAGTAGTCAATTTTTCTTATGTATATAAAAGTTGTGCTCACAAACATCCATACCACTGTCTGAACATACCACTTCTTTATCGCCTGTTAAATGTGACATTATTATAAATCAACACAACAAAAACATTGGATTTTTTATATGTGGAATTCACATACATGGGTCATAAATTATTTTTCCATACTTGCATGGCTACAGGTAAGCTATACTCTATTTTCATACTTCAGGATAACATTTTATTTCATCTTTATTTTGGATTTTTTTCAGACTATCGTTGCTGTTATGTTAATGTCTTTTGGCTTTTTTTTATTAACAGACTCTCACCAGTGTGTGTCATCTGATCCTGACTGTCCCACTCCTCGTTCATTTCAAGTAATTACCAGGGAGAATGTACAAAACATAACTGGTAGAAATTTATCATCTTATTATTTAGAAACTTTCCTAAAATATAAAACAGGCAGGTGAGTACATTGAAATAATTTTTCCATGATTCTAATAGTTCTTGCATCTTCAACTTTTTTACCATAATTGTAAAATATTTATTCAAAAACTATATTTTATTTGTAGATATGGTGCCTTATCTTATGGTAATATTAGATCTGATGTGCCCTGTAATCTGAATACATCTGTAGTTAAAGGTTTAGCTGTGAGAAATATAGCGAATGTAAGTATATTGTATTTTCTGTCAAAATCAGTTTTTATTCAAAATCCATATTATTAAATTTTCTATTGTTTGACATGTTCTTGTGCATATCTAGCAAGCAATGGGCTTATATAATGTGTTTATTTCTACAGGCACATGTTGATTTAAAAAAGATTCATGGCATTGCAGTGTACCTCAACGTTTTAAACAATGCCAAACTACGCGCCAATCTGAATCCTGATATCCATGGCAACCCATCGCAGTATGGCATCACCGTAATTAATCATCCATTAAACAAAACTGAACTCAGAAGAAAAATAATGTTTATGTAAGTAAAATTAGCATGATTTTAATAAACATACTTACCCCATAATTTTGACTGTTTTGTAAAATTATTTTAAAATATATAACGTATCACACTGTGGACATTTGCATTGCATGAGGGAACGCTACATGTATTTCCATCATGCGCTGATAGCACATCTGGATCCGCAGTAAACAAAGGGAAATGTTCGAATGTGACATAAACGCAACGCATATAATTACAGAATAAGGGAGACATTCCAACGAGACTATAACACTTTAGAACCTTTACATATGGCATTTTATGGATGGTTAAATTTTATTGTTTTCAGTTAATCAAGTGCAGAAGCCAAATATTACGTCTTTGGCCATTGAGAAGTCAATACTCAAATATATTGACTGCAATATCTACGAATCTGATTGGCTGTTAGGACTGACAAATAATATTGAATCATATTTGATTGCATTGTTCTACAGGGATAGGTCCCCTCATGAAAGGGTCGCCACTTTGATACTAATTGGAATGTCCTTCATCCCTGCAAGCGTGGTCGTCTTTTTAGTTGCCGAGAGGTCCAGTAAATCCAAACATTTACAATTTATTAGTGGAATGAGTCCGGCATGTTATTGGATTTCAAATTATGTCTGGGATATGGTAAGTACAATTTATGAGTGGAATGAGTGTGGCATGTTATTGGATTTCAAATTATGTCTGGGATATGGTAAGTACAATTTATCAATGGAATTAGTCAGCATGTTATTGGATTTCAAATTATGTCTGGGATATGGTAAGTACAATTTATCAATGGAATTAGTCAGCATGTTATTGGATTTCAAATTATGTCTGGGATATGGTAAGTTCAATTTATCAATGGAATGAGTCTGGCATATTATTGGATTTCAAATTATGTCTGGGATATGGTAAGTACAATTTATCAGTGGAATGACTCTCGCATGTTATTGGATTTCAAATTACGTCTGGGATACGGTAAGAACAATTTATCAATGGAATGAGTCTGGCATGTTATTAGATTTCAAATTATGTCTGGGATATGGTAAGTACAATTTATCAATGGAATGAGTCTGGCATGTTATTGGATTTCAAATTATGTCTGGGATATGGTAAGTTCAATTTATCAATGGAATGAGTCTGGCATATTATTGGATTTCAAATTATGTCTGGGATATGGTAAGTACAATTTATCAGTGGAATGAGTCTCGCATGTTATTGGATTTCAAATTACGTCTGGGATACGGTAAGTACAATTTATCAGTGGAATGAGTCTGGCGTGTTATTGGATTTCAAATTATGTCTGGGATATGGTAAGTTCAATTTATCAATGGAATGAGTCTGGCATATTATTGGATTTCAAATTATGTCTGGGATATGGTAAGTACAATTTATCAGTGGAATGAGTCTCGCATGTTATTGGATTTCAAATTACGTCTGGGATACGGTAAGTACAATTTATCAGTGGAATGAGTCTGGCATGTTATTAGTTTTCAAATTATGTCTGGGATATGGTAAGTACAATTTATCAGTGGAATGAGTCCGGCATGTTATTGGATTTCAAATTATGTCTGGGATATGGTAAGTACAATTTATCAATGGAATGAGTCTGGCATGTTATTGGATTTGTAATCATGTCTGGAATATGGTAAGTACTTACATGGCTAAAATAATCAAAAACAACCTGTTGATCTGTTGCTATAATTTTAACTTCTCTACCTATAAAATTATTTTCACTGAGAACACTGACATTCTTCAGCAACATGAATTTAATATTCAACTCTGATATTTAATAATTCTATTTTCAGATATCCTACTTAGTGCCTTGTGGTTGTAGCATTATTATTTTGATTTCATTTGCTGTACCAACGTATTCATCTCCTACAAATTTACCAGCAATGTTTGTTTTATTTTTATTTTACGGGTAAGTAATTATTCATCTACACATACCATATATAGAATTTAATTTGCATATATAATGAATATTCATGCTTTTCTTGTTGAATGTGTAACTTTTTGTCCTATGATTTTAATCTTTGATACTTCATTAATGAGTCATTAATTATTCATGTTTGCTAACGAAATATGGAAATTAATTTGCATATTGCATGAATATACATGTTTTGTTATCATTAAGGCTTCATACCATACACCATGTTGTGGTAACTTTGCTATACTATCCTTTTTATCTGTGACAACATAAATTCACTTGCATCTGCTTTATTTATTTTATTTTATTTTATTTTACAAGACACTTTGCGATGTTCTTCTTTCGCAGTCAGTAATATTTACGAAAATTTTGGTTCACTATTTTATAAACTGGCTTGGCAATTCTTGCCACCAATTAGACAATGTCACAGCATATCGGCTACTTTTTTCAACAAATCCAAAATCAAAACTTTTTTTTACATTTGTACTATAAAAAAAGGGTATATAATAAATATAACAAGTAATTATTCGTATGTTCATACCTTATAAGGAAACTTATTTGTATTTGTTGCGAATATTTATGATGTGATAATCATTGAAAACATTGATATTAAGACAAAATTTAAAAAATAAGATTAAAATGTAATACAATTATTTTGTCATGTTGAATTATTTGGTTTTATTTTCAGCTGGTCTTCGATTGCTGTGATATATCTGTTATCATATTTATTCAGCACGCCGAGTAGAGCTTATGCAGTTATTCTGGTGGTCAATCTGTTTATTGGTACCACTACAACTTATTCATTCTTAGTTGTACAGAAATTAAATACTTACAGTGAGGTAAGATTAATGTCTATTGTGAACAGCGCATTTCATTATAAATTATTATGTTGATCAGTATGTGACAGTATATTTATTGAATTATTAAAAATTTATTGCAGTAAATATTATCATATATACAAACAATTTGATGTTACTGTAACAACGTTAGAATAGAAATTAAATCATTTGTGTGATGTATCCCTAGTATATGAATGATAATCAGTTTTATACTGCATTCATGACTAAGCGCCCACCCCCAATTTGG